TTCGATTTTTTTGGCAGTCGATGTGAAGAAATGGTGGCTATGGGGATATTGGTCTTCGCCATTAATGTATGCACAGAACGCGATTCTTGTGAATGAGTTCACAGGACATAGTTGGAGCAGAGTAAGTCAAAAAATGCGCCAAACGATTCTATTATATTTTTTGAAGTGTTTCAGACTATAAAAAAATATCCGTTTTTTCGTCATATTTACAGATGATAAACGGAAGCAAGCTAGGAGATATAGTGTTGGAGTCTCGAGGCTTTTTCCCTCAGGCATATTGGTATTGGATAGGACTCGGAGCCACGTTCGGTTTCATATGGATATTCAACATATTCTACTTACTATCACTTATGTACCTCGACCGTGAGTTTTCTTTCTTTTTTTTTTCTTTTTTTTCTACACTGTCAACTATAAGATAAACGAGAAGACATTGATAATACGCAATAAATGCTGCAGCTTTCGAAAAACCTCAAGCCGTATTACCCGAAGAAGAAAATGAAAAAGATGATGCTGAAAGAAATAGCTATTTCGGCCAAGTTTCAGCTCGAGGTAGCGATTCTTCGGTCAGATCAGACGCGATTGAGGCCATTGAGAATCGGAAAAAAGGAATGATTCTTCCATTCGAACCACATTCGCTAACATTCGACGATATTCGATACTCTGTCGACATGCCCGCGGTAAGATTTTTTCTTCGAGTTTAAACTTAGTTTAATTACACATCACTCCTCTTTTTTTTTCTTTTGATAATATATTCGACGTGTAGGAAATGAAAGCTCAAGGCGCCGCAGAAGATAAATTGGAGCTGCTAAAGAGTGTGAGTGGGGCCTTTCGACCGGGCGTTCTTACGGCTTTGATGGGCGTTAGTGGGGCCGGTAAAACGACTTTAATGGACGTGCTAGCGGGTCGAAAAACGGGCGGATATATAGAAGGGAATATCACGATATCCGGATACCGAAAGAACCAATCGACTTTCGCTAGGATTTCCGGTTATTGCGAACAAAACGACATACATTCTCCCAACGTCACGGTCTACGAATCGCTCGTTTATTCGGCTTGGTTGAGGTTGCCTCAAGATGTCGATGCAGGAACAAGAAAGGTAATTAATTAGCTATACAATTAATAATAACAATAGTACTTATTGCAGGTTTTTTTGCACTTACAACATGTTTTGCAAAGTCAACTCGATCATCAGACTATTTTTCAATTAGGTACTAAATCTCCAATTTTTCCCAAGATTAACTTGTCTTAAAACTTTGGCTTGAACAGATATTCATAGAGGAGATAATGGAACTAGTCGAGCTCAACTCGTTGAGAGGGGCACTTGTCGGGCTGCCAGGTGTCAACGGGCTCTCGACCGAGCAGAGGAAAAGGCTGACTATAGCAGTCGAGCTTGTGGCGAATCCTTCCATCATATTCATGGACGAGCCGACTTCGGGCCTTGATGCACGAGCCGCAGCTATTGTAATGAGAACCGTTCGAAATACAGTCGACACGGGACGAACCGTGGTTTGCACCATACATCAGCCTAGCATCGACATATTCGAAGCATTCGATGAGGTAAGCCTAGCATTTTTCGAAAAATTAAGGTTTTCTTACGTAATACGAATTATGAAGATAACTCGATCTTTTGTGGCAGCTATTCTTGATGAAAAGAGGAGGGCAAGAAATATACGTCGGGCCATTGGGTCGCCACTCGTCTCATTTGATCAACTACTTCGAAGGAATCGAAGGGGTCCCGAAAATAAAAGACGGTTACAATCCAGCCACGTGGATGTTGGAAGTCACGACTTCGGCACAAGAGCTTATTATAGGGATCGATTTTGCCGATCACTATAGAAACTCGGAACTATACAAGTTAGCTTACTTTTCCCTTCACAAACTCGTCGTTTTCTAATAAAATATCTGCGAAAAAGCTTCTAACAATGGCTCGTTCGAAATCTTATAGGAGCAACAAATCCTTGATCAAGGAACTAAGCGTGCCTCGACCGGGAACTAAGGACCTATATTTCCCAACTAAATACTCCCAACCTTTCTTCACTCAATGCTTAGCTTGCTTATGGAAACAACACTGGTCATATTGGCGTAATCCGCCTTACACGGCTATAAGATTTTTGTTCACGACCTTCATAGCCATCATTTTTGGGACGATGTTTTGGGATCTCGGATCTCGATGGTAAGTACTAAGTAAATAAAAAAATAAACACAAAAAGGAATTCAAATAGGTGGATTTAAAAGGATTACATTTCTAAAAAATTTTCCATAACGAAAATTTCAGGCGAACTCAACAAGACTTGTTGAATGCCATGGGCTCGATGTATTGCGCTATCCTTTTTCTCGGTTTCCAATACGGTTCGACCGTGCAACCCGTGGTAGCCATCGAGCGAACAGTTTTCTATAGAGAAAAAGCGGCGGGCATGTATTCGGCTCTGCCTTACGCATTCTCACAGGTAAAAAAGTAAAAACTAAAAAGTAAAAAGACATTCGATTAATATATGTCCACTCCCTCGACCTCACTTTTTTGCCTTTTTTTCTTTTTCTTCTGCAGTTCCTCATCGAAATTCCTTACGTGTTCGTACAGTCCGTGGTGTACGGTCTCATAGTGTACTCGATGATCGGGTTCAATTGGGATGTGAAGAAGTTCTTTTGGTACATATACTTCATGTTCTTCTCGTTGCTCTACTTTGTACTATATGGAATGATGACTGTGGCCGTAACGCCAAACCACAACGTTGCCGCCATTATTTCTACTTTCTTCTACGCGTTGTGGAATCTCTTCTCCGGATTCATCATCCCTCGACCCGTAAGTTATATAATCATGCCTTAACTTAACTATGTGAATCATTATAAACCACTAAGGCTATGTTTGGTAAACCTACCTTATAAACTCGTTTATAGCTGATAAGCTGAATTTCGAGTTTATAGCTAATAGCTTATATGATAAAGTGTTTAGTAAATTAGCTGATAAGCTCCAACTTTTTTTAAAAAAAAAAACTCGTCCTTAAACCAAGTTTATTTGAGGATAAGAAGCTTATAAGCTAATCAAACAAGCTATAAGCTAGCTTATATGCTTACCAAACACAACCTAAAACATACACAAACAATGACTAATATTTGTTTTTTTTTTTCCTAACCGTCGAAAATAGAGGATACCCGTTTGGTGGAGATGGTACTGTTGGGCCAACCCCGTGGCTTACACTTTGTACGGTTTGATAGTATCTCAATTTGGCGAGATTCAAGATCGGATGGAGACAGGGCAAACGGTCGAGCAGTTCTTGAGAAGTTACTTTGGCTTCCGACACGACATGCTTGGAATGGTTGCGGCTATAGTTCTTGGATTTGTTGTCCTCTTCACTTTCATATTCGCGTATTCTATAAGGGCATTCAATTTCCAGAGGAGATAAACAAACAAACAAACAGACAAACAAAAATATCACGATACTTATTATCGTGTCATTGTTTCGTCTTTCTTTTGTGTGTGTGTGTGTAAGCTCCATAGTGTTTTCCTTACCATACTTCTTTTAGTTTTCTGTACTATATCTGTCTAGTTTTTTCGGATAAAATATTTTTTTGCAAGACTTTGCAGCTTATAGTATTTTTCATGGTAAAATGCAAATTCAGTTTAATTACATCTAGAAGTTGGAAATTATGAATGTTTATGCTATAGATTACAATGTCAGAAATTACGCATGTTACATGATGGCATGATGCGAAAAATGTTTTATCCTTCCTAAAATTAAGCATGTTTTTAATGTTGTTCACTTGACTTTGTACTATTGTCCAAGAATATAGCTGGCAAGATATTACATCATAATCACCACAAAATTCACGACAATCAATTGAATCCAAAAAACTCATTTTATTCTCATAGCACCACAAATCTCACTCACATAACAACGCCATGAAAAGTATATAGACACAAGCATATCTAAATTAATCTAAAGTTCGTTACCTGGATTAACGGAAAAGGCAATTTAACAGCGCTGTGACTTGTAATACATCTGACGCTGGTGGCTGGTAATGTGGAAAGGTCGGAATTAGGGACGGACGAAAATTAGGGCAAGTGCACGACGTCGTTCAGTGTGAGCCAGATTTCATATACATGTGAAAGGGATTGTTTTTCATTTTTTGATACACAACTTTGTTTGAGAAGTTTCTGTTATTTTTTTTCCTTTCTTTTTTCATTTTTTCTAGCTAAAATTGTAGAACACGTTTGTTTATGAAAATTTTTTATAATTTTATTTTGTTTGGATTTCTGGATTTGCTTTGGTTAATTTTGAAAAAAGTGGTATACTTAGTTGTTAGTGGGTATATTAAAATAATATTAAAATAAAATAATTAAAATTGCTTTGATGTAAAAATATGAGAAAGATGATTTGAAGTGATGGTTAGTTAAAATAATGTGAGTGCATGAATAATGAATTAAGGTTGATGTGGTATGTATGATTAATGATTGATATTATTAAATTATAATGCTAGTATTGATGACAGTGATGTTGAGTTAATTATAATGATAGTATTGACGTCCATGTGGTGTATCTCCCGATTTGTCACGGTAAAATGCAACTCGAATATTCATAATTTGCAATATTTCGTACATTCCGACCATACAATTATCCGGTAAAATGCAACTCGAATATTCATAATTTGCAATATTTCGTACATTCCGACCATACAATTATTCGTAAAAATACACACACAAATGTATATTTTGACGTCCATGTGGTGTACCTCCCGATTTTTCACTGTAATATGCAACTCGAATTTCATGAACATTCATAATTTACAAATATTTCGTACATTCTGACCATACAATTGTCCATAAAAACACACACACAAAAGTATATGGCCAAGATGTACGAAACACGTATGTTGAAGATGAACTAGAGGTTGCAAATCCACTAGGCTATTTTACATGTGCATTGGCCTCATTTGAAATGTGAAGTAAATGGTACAAACACATCATATTCACTAAATAGACCAGTAATTAAGTGGAAATTTTGTCCAATGTATTTTCACTAAATTTTGTCCAATGTCTTTTCACTAGTCTATTTATCATTTGAAACATGAAGTAAATTGATAGGGATTATAATACCGACTCGGTCTAACCGGACAAAGACCCATGAGATGGAGGCCAATAAAGCCTACTGGCCTACTCGGTCATTAGGCTTTACCTAATAGTCTACTGGTCTAATGGTCTACTGGTCCAATGGTCTACTGGTCTAATGGTCTATTGGTCCAATGGTCTACTGGTCTAATGGTCCACTGGTCCACTGATCCATTGGTCTACTAGTCTACTGGTCTAATGGTCTAATAGCCTAGAGGTCTAATGGTCGAACACGAGCGAAGCACGATCGACCCATGGTCGAACACGGGTGCGGGCCGATGGAGGCTCGACCGACTCGAGTGGTCGAGCGGGACGAGTCCAGGGGCAGTCACGCAGTAAATGGCGAGTGTCGACCCATATAGCCCAACATCGACCGAATCACATTGGGTCGATAGATAGTCGGGGACTTATTGGCTCAGAGGGAGTCCGTACAACTAAGTACTATATATATGCGTTATGTGTCTCAGGTACAGGGGTAAGATCTCTCATTATCACTTTCACTATCCAGTTTTGTTTCTTCGAACTCTCTCTATTCGCTATACTAACTTGGGCATCGGAGGGTTTTGCGTCGGAGCAATTCCGACGCTTTGCAGGTACCGGCGAACTCAAGTGCAAGGATTGAAGAACACCCACCGACCTACCATGCAACCCGAGGAGGACCAGGCGAGGAACTGGAGTCATTCGTCTTGGACATTATCAAATTGGCGCCGTCTGTGGGAACCCTAGCTCAACCGGTGTTGATATGGTGGTACCTCATACATAATAACCGGAAAGTAAGTGGAGGAGCACGGATTGAAGAAGATGGTGAAGGAAAGAAAGCGTGAGCAGGCGGGGAAAGACAACTCATGGTTGCACAAGCGTCCTGCAGGTGAAGGAAAGAAAGCGTGAGCAGGCGGGCCTCGCCAAGTCTGTCCTCAAGGACGGAGTCCCGGGCTCTGCGGCCCGACCCAATTCCATTGCCATCGAGATCATGTGTTACAACTACGCTAGCCTTTCTTTCAGCCCATACGGTGACTACTGGCGGCAGATGCGCAAGATTCGCATGAGCGAGCTCCTGAGCGCGAAAACGTCCGCTCGTTCGCCTCCATTCCATTCGGGCCGATGAGGTGGCCCGCATGGTCGGCTCAATTCGGGCCTTAGCCCGAAAGCCCGTCAACCTCACGGAGAAGGCATCTTCATTGACGAGCGACATCCTGTGTCGGGCCGTTTACGGGAAGGTGTGCAAGGATAGGGATGGGCTTGTCGGGCTAATGCGGGCCGCAGTCAAGCTGACTGGCGGGTTTGAGATTGTTGACCTGTACCCGACATGGCGGGTCGTTAGGGCGCTGAGCTGGAGTAGGATGAGGCTCGTTAAGATGAGGCAGAAAGTCGACGTGATTCTCGACGATATTATTCGGGAGCACAAGGAGACGAAAACGGCGGGAAAAGATGGTGTTAAGATGGGGAGTTTGGGAATGAGGATTTGGTTGATGTGTTCTTGAGGGTTATGGAGGGTGGGGAGCTCAATTTCGTGATCGGAAACGACAACATCAAGGCCGTTTGATTCGTAAGTTCAACATTTTTTCGATTGAATGATTGTCTGATTAAGCAATATCGCAATGTGAAAACCGTGAAACAAATTCAGTTAGTGGACTTAAAATTGCTTCGTGCGCCGATTGCAGGACTTGTTCTCAGCCGAAACTGAGTCATCATCGATCGTGATCGACTGGACAATGGTCGAGCTCATGCGAAACCCTAGAGTCATGGCCAAGGCACAGGCCGAAATCAGACAAGCCTTCCAGAAGGACCCAACAATCGAGGAACACGATCTCACGCACAAACTAAAGTACCTAAAGCTCGTAATCAAAGAGTCCATGAGGCTACACCCGCCGATCCCAATCATCCTAAGGTTATAAAGAGAGGAATGTGTGTTCGACGGGTACACAATCCCGGCCAAATCCAGAGTCTTGGTCAACAACTGGGCCATGCAGAGGGACCCACAATATTGGAAGGATCCCGAGAGTTCGTGCCCAAGAGGTTTGAAGATGGGGGCCCGGATTTCATGAATGAGGGTTCTCACTATTTGCCGTTTGGGATGGGGAAAAGGATGTGTCCCGGGATGATGTTCGACCTAGCTAGCATCGAGCTTCCCTTGGCCCGACTTCTCTATAGTTTTGACTGGAAACTTCCGGAAGGGGTGCGTGTAGAGGATTTGGACATGACCAAAAATCCTGGGGTCACGGCCTCAAGGAAGGACAAGCTTTTCTTGGTCGCTATTCCGTACAAGCCTTCGACTTGACTACTGTAAAGTTTTTTCCATAGGATAATTAAGTTTTGCTGGAATCATTATTTTGCCACCATACATGTTATTTTTCTCTAAGCAAAGGCAACTAAACTCGTATTCTATTGGTGTAAATGCAACAAACCCTTATTGAACTTTCAAAAGATTTTACATACTTTGCCTGAAAACTGTAAAGTGAATAAAAATGATGCTGAACATCTTTTTTAGCTCAACTAAGGGCACACATGATGAGAGGCTACAAAAACTTTCAGATTCATTATCAGCAAAAATTTATTTCCACATCACACATCGGGCTCTCTTACGGCAACCGGCAGGTTTAACTCCGGTTCGTGTTCACCGAACGGCGAGAAAAACGAGTCAACCATGTCGTCTGTTACATCCTCCAACTTGGGTGGGCCCCACTGCAATTCGTATGCATATACATAGCCCCAGTTTAGTGATATATATCAGTAAGTTTTGAAATATGACTCGGGAATTTAGGCTAAAATTTCAAATGTAGTTATACCTAAAATTATATGCGATTTGTTTTTTACCTCGACTAAAGATTGTTCTTAGCAATTAAAAAACGTACCTTTGGGGCGAAGTCCTTGTCGACCAGTCTTGCACGTACACCCTAATATAATAATGTACGCACAAAAGATAAATCGGATATTGACTGGAATTTAATTTGTCCAAATAATAATATACCGATTTTAGCACATACCTCGGTAAAATCATTTGAGATGTGTTTGGATATGAACCTCAGGGATGTTCGGTATTCTCTAGTGAGGCACTGGTCGAGAGTCTGAAACCTTCCTTCCCGAACCTATACGAATTTGAAATGAATTGATAATTGTTGGAGTTTAAATGTGTAAATGGCAATTTTGAAATAGATTTTACTAGCAGTGATAAAAAGACTTACTGATTGCAAAGTTACTTTCAAGCTCAATGGAGAAGCTTCCTTAATTTTGTTAAGCACAGTCTTGAGCCACATATTACCAGATTCTGAAGCTTGATTTTCCTACAGAGACAAAGAAAACCACTACTCCATCGAATCCCATGAAAACATGTCCAACAATAATAAAAACCATAACATTATTACTATTATTATTAGAAGTATTAGTATTATTAGGAAGATGCAACATTTTTCTTACCAAGCAGAAAATACCAAAATGAAATAAATATACACCAACTTACGAGAGATTCAACTATTTCCTCCACTGTATCATAGCAGAAAAACGAGTCGATTGTTTCTATCCTGAATCCCAAAAAGACAAAGCCACCGGCAATTAGTCACATGAAAGAAAAGAAATAGAAAATAGATTAAACTNTCTAAGCAGCCATATTGCGCAAGAGAACTTTCAATGACTGAACGATCATCGGTTATCAAATCACCAAGGCGTTCTTCAATCCACGGAAGTTTCTGTTAGGGAAAATAGACCGGTAACAACAACAACAACATACCCAGTATATTCCCAACAGGTTGGGACCAGTAACAAATCTTAAAAAAAAAAAAAGAATGGGATTATTACAAAACTTACACCTTTAATTTAGGCTAATTACAAAAGAACACACTCGTATTTTGATGTTACAGGGATAACCCCCAAGAGATGTACATTGACCCTAAACAAATAAATCCCTTCAAATGTTGACGCAATTTCGATTAGAAAAAAAGAACATAAAAGGGATACATAAGCTAAACTCAGGTAGATTTTGCAATTAACCATAAAGAATATTAAATATGTAGAGAAAAGAGCTATTGGCTGGTCATAGAAAACTAACTTCCTTCAATGAGTAGTGTGTAGCAAGACCACATGCCATCATTTCAACCCCGTTTAGTTTTTCTCCAGTTAGAGCTAAATATTCACCTGCATTGATATGATGAGACTAAATAACAACTTGTAATTTTCAAATTCTTTATTTTCCCTAGATGAGAAATTGTTTGAGATTCAGAACAAGAATATTTATGCATATATATCTCAATCCAAACCTTAAAATTTGTGTTGCAACTATACCTAAATAGCCAGGTAGACGAGAGAGATAATATGAGGCCCCTGCATCAGGATGAAAACCTATTTGAACCTCCGGAGTTGAGAAGACCTGAAATTTATGAAGAAAACAACATTTTGTAAGCAGATCATCAAAATCCCACAACTCACATCCAAAAAATGGTCATAATGTTCACCTGATATTGATCAATTTGAAAAATATAGCTAATTATGATAAAATAATGTTTATGAGCTGCCTCTGAATATCAAAAAATGGACCAATAGAAACTCATAAATTATATCTTGTAATGGACTAAATAGTTATTGACATGCTACATTCACTTTCTTTTTTTTTTTTCTTTTTGGGCTCAATATACAAGTGAAGATTGATACATACCATGCTACATTGTCTTTTTTTCAATATACAAGTGAATATTGATACATCCACTTATATTGCGTTAAAAGATGAAAATATTCGTGCGCATAAAGAGAATAGAAAGTCACCAAACTGATCCCAAAAACATTGAAGTTACAAAAAGATATTGCAGCCAGGTTAAGAAAATGACTAGTTTTCTAATCTTGATTCCAGATGAAATTCTTAAATCTAAGTAGAAGGCAAAAATCAGTTCATTTCATGAGGTCAAATGAGGGAGCAGTATTCATACAGTTCTATCAGATACAACGCGAAACATCCCGGGTAGCGAAATACCTGCCCCGCCTCCCATTACAATACCATCCATTATAGCCACCTGCAAAAGGTCAACTATTACAAGAAAAACAACTAAACTTAATTAACTATTAATGTTCTGTATCAGCAAAGGATCAGGAAATAAGATAATAGTTGCTTCTATCTCGCAAAGACATAAAATTTAACATTATATAGGACAATATTATGAGATTCTTAATCAGTATGTTATTAATTTAGAACTGAAAGAGAAGATACTCCCTAGAATAAAAGAACTATCTCTACTTTTTTGTTATTTTTTTAACAAAAGATCGAGGGAGCATTTTGAGGACTACAAAATTACAGGTTCATACTTCATGCACAAATTATATGAAATGACAACCACAAAAGGCAAAGTAAACAAAGTTAACTTCTTCTTGGTATATTAACCACATAAATAAGACAAATTCATCTGTGATGTCCTCAAAAATTGAGAGCGAAGGTGCAAAGATTACAGCCCACACACACAAAATAAATAAAATAGATAGATAAATAAATAAATAAAAGATTTTTTTTTTCGCCATGCTTCCCATCAGAACAGATAGGGATAAATGAACTCACATGTGGCTTAAGATATGTTCCCATAACATAGACAAACTTGTACAAACTCTGGAATAATGCTTTGCACTCTTCAGTCTTCCCTGTAAATTGATTTAAAGTAAATTAATCCTAGAAAACGCACAAGAATCATCATGTTCCACCAGGGTCGATGCCATCAGTTATTCATAAATACTAATCCATGATTTGGTGGATAAATTATCCTAAAAGGTTAGACAAATGCTTCCTCACATATATTTATATTAAAGTACCAAGTGTTGGACTACAGATCAATAGCGTGTGAGTACATACACAAGGAGCTATATTTGAGCATTGGGGCCACATAAACTCATCAATATCTTGCTGGAAAATTGATTATGAATATCTATGAAAAAGTTGAAACCATATATGCTGGATAAAATTCACTATTATGAACAAATAGTACAAGTTCCTGAGGCTCGATTCATCAATTCCAAAATGATATATTAA